CACAGGACCTGAAGACGCAAGTAGGTTGCATGAGGTAGTGGCCCAAATGCCCATAGTCTCCACTCCTGTTACATTACCTTCCATCTCCCAGTCCACACTTATGGCCTTATGGGGAGTTCCTTATGATCAGTTGACTGAGGAAGAAAAAACTCATGCCTGGTTTACAGATGGTTCTGCACGATATGTAGGCGCCATTTGAAAGTGGACAAGGGCAGCACTACAGCCCCTTTCTGGGACCTCCCTGAAGGACAGTGGTGAAGGGAAATCCTCCTAATGGGCAGAACTTCGAGCAGTGCACTTGGTTGTTCACTTTGCCTGGAAGGAGAAATGGCCAGATGTACAATTGTATAGTGATTCATGGGCTGTCGCCAATGATTTGGCTGTATGGTTAGGATCTTGGAAGGAACGTGATTGGAAAATTGGAGACAAGGGGGTGTGGGGAAGAGGTATGTGGGTAGTTCTCTCTGAGTACGCCAAAGAAATGAGGATATTTGTATCTCATGTGAATGCTTACCGAAGGGTGACCTCAGCGGAGGAGGATTTTAACAATCAAGTGGTTAGGATGACACATTCTGTGGAAACCAGTTATCCTCTTTCACCAGCCACTCCCATCATTACCCAATGGGCTTATGAACGACGTGGCTGTGGTGGCAGGGATGGAGTTTATGCATGGGCTCAGCAACATGGACTTCCACTCATGGAGGCCAGTTTGGCTACAGCCACTGCTGAGTGCCCAATATGGCAGCAGCAGAGACGAATACTGAGTCCCCGATATGGCACCATTCCTCAAAATGATCAGCCAGCAACTGGTGGCAGGTTGATTACGTTGGACTGCTTCCATCATGGAAATGGCAAAGTTTTGTTTTTACTGGAATAGACACTTACTCTGGATATGGATTTGCCTTCCCTGCATGCACTGCTTCTGTCAAAACTACCATCCATGGACTTACAGAATGCCTTATCCACCGTCATGGTATCCCACACAGCATTGCCTCAGATCGAGGGACTCACTTCACAGCAAATGAAGTCAGTCATGGACACATGCTCACAGAATTCATTGGTCTTACCATGTTCCCCATCATCCTGAAGCAGCCGACTTGATAGAACGATGGAATAGTCTTCTAAAGACACAATTATAGAGCCAGCTAAGTGGTAATACTTTGCAGGGTTGGGGCAGTGTTGTCTAGGAGGCTGCATGTGCGCTAAACCAGCATCCAGTATATTGTGCTGTTTATCTCATAGCCGGTATTCATTGGTCCAGGAATCAAGGGATGGAAATGAGAGTGACACCACTCACTATTACCCCTAATGACCTACTAGCAAGATTTTTGCTTCTGGTCCTAGTGACCCTATGCTCTGTGGGTCTAGAGGTCTTAGTTCCAAAGGGAGGAATGCTCCCACCAGGATACATAACACTGATTGCATTGAACTGGAAGTTAAGAATGCATGCCACCCAGCCACTTTGGGCCCCTCATGCCTCTGGATCAACAGGCAAAGAAGGGAGTTAGTGCCTTGGCTGACATGACTGATCCTTATTACCAAAAGGAAATCAGATTGATATTACGTAACAAAGGTAAAGAAGAGTATTCTGAAATTCCGACATGACTGCTAATGGCCCAGGCCCTTCAGAAATGGTTTGGGTCACCCTACCAGGCAAAGAACCATTACCACCTGAAGTGCTTGCTGAGGGTAAGGGGAGTACAGAATGGGTGGTAGAAAAAGGTAGTTCTGAATACCAGCCACAACCACATGACCATTTGCAGAAACGAGGTCTGTAATTGTTATGAATATTTCTCCTTGTGTGTGTCCATCAAATATTTTTGTTTTCTTCAGTTATAAAATGTAAGATGTAAATAGGGCTAATATGTTTTCGGTAGAACGCATTTTAGTTGTATCATGTTAGGCATAAGTGTGACTTTATAATTGTCTTTATTTAGAGATTATGTATGGTTTAAGGAGCTGTATACAGGTGTCAGGTTGACAAGGGTCATATTGTGATGCTTAAGGTTTTGTGTCAACTTGACTGGGCCATGATTCTCAGTGATTTGGCAGTTACGATGTAGGTTGGCAGATCACATCCATGATGAGATCTGATATGATGTTATCACCTCCATGATAATATCTGCTGTGAGTAGCCAGTTAGTTGAAAGGAAGTTTCCTTGGAGGTGTGGCCTGCATCCAATACATGTGGATGTTTTGGCAAATCTCACTGGCTTTTGCTCAGTGTGGATCCTGCATCCAGCTCGTCATCATCTGGCCTCCAGTTCTTGAGACTTGAGCCAGCAGCCTGCTGTCTGACCTGCCGATCTTGGGTTTGTCAGCCCCTGCAGCTACGTGAGTTAGGAGAAGCCTCCAGCCTGATGCCTAACCCATGGACTTGGGACTTTCCAGCCTCTACAACCGTGTGAGCCATTTCCTTGAGATAAATCTCTCTCTCTCTCTCTCCCTCTCTCTCTCTATATATATAAATGTATGTATATGTATGAATATGTGTATGTGTATACACACACACACTCTTTACTGGTTTTGCTTCTCTAGAAAACCCAACCTAAGGCAATCACATTTATTCCACATAAACTGAATACTTCTTCTGTGCCAGGCACTGTTCTTGGTGCTAGGTGTATAGCAGTGAACAAAGAAAAGTCTCTGTTCTCTTAGAGCTTATGTTGGTGTGGAGGTTTGGGGGAGCCAGTAAAACTTAAAAATATATAGAAAATCAGGTGATAATAAGGGCTATGAATGAGAATCAACATCCAGCTGGTTTTTATAAAAGTTTTATGCTTCATTAATTAAGATATTTTGATGACTTTATTAATTAAAGCTTCCTAACTTTCCTCTTTGCCCTGTCTTTTAGAGGCCTACTAGGAGACCCAGCTCAGGGCACAGAGGCACCACCTTCATTCCAGAGCTGCCAATCACTCTTTAGTCCTGAGCAGAATTTTACTCTTTTTGAATCTCAGTTTTTCCTTCTATAAAATATGAAAAATAGTAACTATTCCTTTTCTCTATTGAACAACCTTTGAATTATGAAATAATGTGCCCTGTAAGTCCAAGGCAGTGATACCAACTGTAGCTGTATTAAGTTTCTAAAATGTATCTGACCTATTTTACATATAAATGTTTAATAAATTGTTAACTATGAACATTTTGTTAAGGTCAAGAACAAAAGAAGCAAGGATGTCCTTATCACTCTTACTTAACATTGTTCTATAAGTATAGCCAATGTAATTAGATGTAAGAAACAACCACTCTGACTGGGATCACAGCAGAGGGTCCTGGACAGAGTGGCAGAAAAATGTAGAACAAAAAATCAAATTCACAAAAAAAAAAAAAAAAAACAGACTTACTGCTCCAACAGAGACTGGAGGATCCCCTGAGACTTCGGCCCCAAGACATGCTTCTGCCCTGGAACTGAAGCCATTCCTGGAGACTGCCTTCCAGGCAAACAGTAGACAAGCCCATAAAATAACACAGTAGCACCCCAAGAGGAATGTGCTCCTTAGGATAGTCAGTTATACGAGATTAAAAGGGCAGTATTTGCCCAAAAGCAAAGATGAGAAGGCAGGAAGGGGTAGAAAATCGGGATGAAAGGAAACAGGGAACCCAGGGCGGAAATGGGGAGAGTGCTTTCACATTGTGGGGAATGAAACCAAGCCATGAAACACTTTATGTATAAACTATCAAATGGGAATCTAATTTGCTGTGTAAACTTTCACCTAATGCACAATAAAAATAATAAATAATACGAAGAATTCCTGTGTACCCTTCATTCAAATTTCCCAAATGTTAGCACTTTACTTTTGTTTTATCACATTTTGTTTATCCATTCATCAGTTGATGGACATCTGGGTTATCTCTACTTTTGGGCTGTTAATAAATAATGCTGCTATGACGTTCTCATAGAAGTTTTTATTATATATATGTTTTCAGTTCTCTTGGATGTATACCTAGCAGTGGAATTACTGGGTCATATGGTAACTCTGGAGCCCTGGTGGTTCAGTGGTTAAGAGCTCGGCTGCTGACCAAAAAGTCAGCACTTCAAATCCACCAGCTGCTCCTTGGAAACCCTATGGGGCAGTTCTACTCTGTACTATAGGGTCGCTATGAGTCCTAATCAGCTTTGATGGCAACGAGTTTTTGGTTTTATGGTTAACTATGTTTAACTTTTTGAGGAACTGCCAAACTTTTACAAGGTGCTATATACCATTATGCATTCCTGTCAGCAGTGTATGAGGGTTGCACTGTCTACACTTCCCTGAGCATCTTCATGTGTATATTGGCTATTTGTGTATCTTCTTTGGAGAAATGTCTATTAAGTCCTTTGCCCATTCTTAACTGAATTATTTGTTTTTTTATTGTTGAGTTGTAAGAGTTCTTTATATATTCTGAATACTAGACCCTTATCAGAGATACATGATTTGCAAATATTTTCTCCCATTCTGTGGGTTTTCTTTTCACTTTCTTGATAATGTCCTTTGAAGAACAAATGCTTTTTTTAATTTCGATGAAGTTCAATTTATCTTTTTCTTTGGTTGCTCGTATTTTTGGTATCACATCTAAGAAACCATTGCCCATTCTAAAATCACAAAGATTTTTAATGTTTTCTTCTAAGCGTTTTATAGTTTTAGCGCTTACATTTAGGTCTTTGTTCCACTTTGAGTTAATTTTTGTATATAATCTGAGACAGGAATCCAACTTCATTCTTTTGCATTTGGATATCCAGTTGTACCAGCGCCACTTGTTGAAAAGACACCCACTGAAATTGTCTTGGCACCCTTGTCAAAAATTAGTTGCCCATAAATGTATAGGTTTATTTCTAGACTTTCAGTTCTGTTCCATTGGTCTGTATGTCTATCCTTATGCTAGTGTTTATACCCTTTTATATCCTTTGAATTTTGGATCACGTGAATGTATTTATTCAGAAGTAATACAATTTTAAAAACAATTGTTAAGTTTAATATAATTTACTCCTTTAATTTCTCTCCAATTTGCTCTTTCAGGAAAGTGTGCTGTATTGTCATTCAAGGACTTCCTCTCCTGCAGGCCAACTGAAATACCAGAAAATGACATTCTCCTTTGTGAAAGCCGCTACAACGAGAGTGACAAGCAGATGAAGAAGTTCAAGGGACTGAAGAGGTTTTCTCTCTCTGCTAAAGTGGTAGATGATGAAATTTATTACTTCAGGTAAAGCTTGAGAAACTAAGAAAGAAAGAACTTCCACTCTTGATAGTAAAACTGATATCAAAATAGTGTAGTCCATGTTGTTTTGTTGTTGTTGTTTAAATCTTAAACTAGAGCAGTGTATATTTCAAATAGAAACTATTAATTCAGTTAAAGATTAAGGGAAAATCCTCATAATCTGGTGGGATACGGTAACTGCCTTAATAAGTCCCTTGGCTTAGACTCCGGTGATTGTAGAATGGAGGCAGAAATACTCAGTCCTGGTCCCTGTCCTGTCTGTTAAGAGATTGCGCAGTTCCACAGACTATGAAAACTCTTCTTCGTTGTGTGTACATTGCAGATTGCAGGAAGTCATCTCTAGGCATTGCTTTCTGACCCATTCTGGAGCAATGTTAGATGATTTTTTTTTTTTTTTTTTGGTCTCTTCTTTTAGGAAACCAATTGTTCCTCAGAAGGAGCCCTCACCATTGTTGGAAAAGAAGATCCAGTTGCTAGAAGCTAAATTTGCCGAGTTAGAAGGTGGAGATGATGATATTGAAGAAATGGGAGAAGAGGATAGTGAGGTCATTGAACCTCCTTCTCTACCTCAACTTCAGACCCCTCTGGCCAGCGAGCTGGACCTCATGCCCTACACACCCCCACAGGTGAAGGTGACAAGTTCCAGTTACTTGTCGTATTCTCAGGTTTGGTTTGTAGCAGACCCACATCGAAGTGATGAGACATCCAGTCCCTACATATGTGAGTCTCAACCTAGAATTCTACAGGAAAAGACTGATTTTTTTTTTTTTATTTCCTTTTCTCAATGCCTTTAAGAATTTAAAATGGACCATCTTTTGTGGGTTTCATAGATAGCTATTTTTGTTTTTTTTTTAATTGCACTGACTTATTTTTTTCCCACACAAAACTTTATACATACATTTTTATGTGACCCTAATTACCCTCCCCATACTGTGACAGCACAGTCCTCCTTTCCACCCGATTCCCCGTGTCCATTCAGTCAGCTCCTAACCCTCTCTGCCTTCCCATCTCACCTCCAGACAGAAGCTGCCTGTTTAGTCTCTTGTATCTACTTGAGATAAGAGGCATACTCCTCA